CCCGCCCGGCCCCTCGCCCCGCCGCCGACCCAGTGCCCTCCAGGAACGCGTTTCTCCCTCCCGCTCCCCACCCCGAGAACCATCACCCTCCGCCCGTTAGCCTCCCTCCTCCGCCCGCCCCACACCATACCCTCTCCAGGCCCCTTCCCACGACCTTCAGGCGGCCACGGACCAGGGCTTCCTCCTCCCCACGTTACCTTCCCAGGGCCTTCCTCATAGTGGCTCCTGCGGAAGGCGGAGGTGGTAAACCTGCGGACACCGGCAACCAGCATGGTACCGACCGAGCAGCCCAGATACAGTCTCCCCTGCGCGCTTGTAGGTGAGGCGATGGGAGGGGAGCGGCGGGAGAAAGAGTAATGTGCTGGGGAGGGCGCGGGGAAAGCAGTTACGGCGGTCGGAGTAGCTAACCACCCTTGTGTTACCTCAGGCTGATCCTGCGAATAGTGCTGTTACTTCAAACGTGTGTATTGTATTCATTTACATACAATTGAAATAATACAACTTACAAAACAAATTAACAGAGGAGAAAGAGGTTGTAGCTTAAGGGTAGTTACTAACTCATGAAAAAGTATTTGAACAGCAACCAGTGTTCCAGATAAGGAACATCTTGTGGTTACAGACTTGCTAGCCAAGGACATGCTGGAGCAACTGGACCTTGAGAAGGGCAGTTAATGAGAATGTTTTGTATATGCTGCTAACTTGGACAGCAGAATTGAGGGTTCATGTATCCTTAGTTGAGCTACCCTTATTGTAATACTACAAATCACTCCGCTCTGAGATGGAGACGCAGACCAGTCACAGGCCCTTACCCACTGAGCATGCCTAGCCAATTTTAGGACTACTGTAAAACTAGGCAAAAAAGGAACTGACCGATCATAGTTCGGAGAGCATGGCTAGTAGGCTGTACTAACTTTTTTTTCACTTTTTTTTTTGTTGTATATATATGCGATTTAATTGTAAGTGTGCGTACTTGGTTTGTGGAAATCTTCTATCTCATACCCTGCACAGAATAAAACACTGTCTCCTCTCCAGACGTACTTTCTGTGTTTCAGGAGTCATTTTCGATTTCAGGCAACAGTACAGGTCAGCTTGTAAAGCAGATATCCCCAATCTTCCCTTCTTTGTAGGGTGGCAAGGCTGTGGAGGTGTGAGTGGAAATCCATGCTTAACCTTTGCAGTGCAACAGAAATAGAGGTCACTGGGTGTCAATTTAGCTGATGACTGTAGTTTTATAAACTGTAAGAGTCCAGTGAATGTGGACAAGACAAATGGTGAAGATTTATGCGGGGTTGCCAATTTTAATGAATATATTCTTGCCTAGTTTTCTTACAAAGTTACACTTGGATAATATGGAGAAACCTCCCTACCCCCCATGTCTGGAAAAGGAATAATAAAAATCCCCCTAAAGTTATTTCTAAAATTATGGTCTCTATCTGTTTTCTTACATACAGTATTTTAAAGACAAGCTCTGTTTTTTTTTTTTTTTTAAATTTTTCAGTAAAGGAAGTTTGGTGCTGCAGTCTCTGTGTTGCAAGGAAACAATTTTTTCAAAGTCTTTCTGCATAGTCACATAGTACCGAAGGGAGAATATAGGAACAGCATTTTTATGCTCACCAACATAACACATTAATAAAGGCAGGTTGAAAGAACTGTGAGTTTGAGAAGTGAGACATAATTACATTTGTTTTTATTTAGAAAATCTATTTTGGAAAACAGAGTAATTAGGAACAGTAAGGAATTATTACAGGTTGTTTTGAGAGGCAGTCTATTCAAGCAGAAGACAGAAAAGCAACGTGAAACAACAAAGTGTTTTCTGAATATTTAAAGTATCAAATGAAAGTATTCACATAAAGAGGAGTTAAGTGCAAATAGTTATTTAATTTTCATGAATTTCTTTTATAAATTACAAAACAATGTAATAGATATGAATTTGCGATAGGTGCACTTATAAGCACTCCAGAAACAGTTATGGGAGTAACCAGTATATTTGGACTGGACTGCTTTCCTGCACCTGAGTTTTAATGTGAGTAAATTAATCTGCCAGGAAAACACAGCAAGAACTTTTTATACTTCTGAGTTTAGCACTTTTGAAGCTGGAGGGCAAGCTGAATAAGTTCAGGTGCAGTTTTCTGGCGCATTTGCTGAGTTTCTTGTGATACTGTTAACTCTTTAATTGTTCTAGATTCAGAATGTAATTTAGCTCTGTAATTCCTGTTGAATGCTTTGTAAGAACAGGAATTGTCACCAACTTTTTTTTTGCCCCATGATGTTTTTCTGTAGTGTTTTGTTGACTGTACAGGAACTCTGTAGAGAGCCATTTGGAAACTGGAATTTTGAGTCAGATAATCCTCATCCACATGTATATTGATATCTTCAGCAGAACTTCAAGAGTGCTGACCTTCTCATTATAGAAGCAAAAGCAACATCCCCAGCCACCTTTATATTTATTCAGGTATCTGCTTGTTCTAGCATTGATGTAATAGTTGCTAAAAAATTCTGTTGAGATCACACTCTCATAAACCTGTATTTCCACTTGGAAACTATTGGAATAAATGGGTATTGTATTTGTCATACAGGGAAACTTCAAGTGTGAACTCAGCCTAACCAGTAGTAATTCAGCTGTTCATCATAGATTTCTTAGAGGTTGCATGTGGGTGTCATTTGGTCCTGGTTGTTTCTTAGTGCTCGTTTTGTCCATAGATACAACAAAGCCTGTTCATGCAGATCGTGTTCTGTCTCCTGCACAAAGGCTGTGACATGCAACCCAACTAGGTTTCTTCCACGGTGAACATCAGTGCAAAGAATCCATTTAAGCATGTCTGCAGATGGCTGTGTCATTTCTTATTGTTTCTTTATTCTTTGACTATTAAATGGTAATGCAGAACTCTAGGACACCTTTTGCCGTGGTTGTAGATTTAGTTACAATTCCTTTAGCTAGTTGTTTTTCATATTTTCTTTTCCTCTATCTATTTATATTTTTAATTTTATATGTCAGAGTTTACAATTCTTTCTTCATTTGCCAATACATAAGTTTATTGGAGCATGCTTTCCTGTTTCTGCTAACTACCCGTGCTGTTTAGGCAGCCAGGCCTCTTTTTTTTTCACTTTTCTCAAGCCTTTCCTAATTGGGATTAATAGTACTCTATTTCCTGTATGGTAGTCTGCTCTATCATCTTTTTAACTAGTGTTCTCCTTGTAATGTAGCTCTTGTTTTCATGTAGTGAATTTTATGGTGTTTGCTGCTGCTGAAGAGATGTTGAATATAGGCATAAAGATCCATGTTACACAGTGGCACTTCAGTGCTGAGATTGTGTACCACGTGAAGATCTTTCACGTTATTCAGGACCAAGTAAATGGTTCATTTTCTTCTTGTGGTCTCCTAGCCAGCTGGTTCACAAAGCAATCAGTGATATGGTTTAAAAATTTCTTCTCTGCTTAACATCACAAGGTAGGTTTTGCTCAGTCTACTCAGGGACAATTTTAGTCACTCAGTGGAACAGCGGTTCTTGTCCTAATGCTATTGTAAATTTTTTTGGCATACCACAGCTGGTGTTGTCCTCCTCGTGGGGCGAGTGGTGTCACAGTACTGTATTGCTGCTACTGGGCTCAGACCTGCCACTTGTACGGGTTTTGTGTTATGCAATAAAGCTATTAATTACAAAGACAAGTGCTAAGCATCGTGTAATAGAGAATATTAATTCACTCATGTCAGAGTTTACTCACTGTCTTTCCTATGTGTATTGAATCCTGATACTACAGTGTTTTGTTGATTGACTTCATTCTGGTAAGTTTCTGACAGGCTGATGTGGTGTTGTTTCCTTTTAGGGCTGTGTTGCATATTTCCACACAGATTAATGTTCGAAGGAACAAAAGTGGTTGGTATCTTGACTTCCAGATAATCCAGAAATCTTCTAGATTGGCTCCTACAGCGATACCATTACAGGCTTTCATAGCAATAGTAGTTTGCTCCTTGAACTGGGTTTGCAGGTGTTTTCTGTGTACACAGAAATAGAATCTCTTCAGGAGCTGCCTGTTTTTTTTTGGTTTTTTTTTTTTACGACTGGTGAAGAAATTTGTATGAATGCTCATGTCTGTTCTTCAAAGAGTAAATTAGGAAATGAAGTATACCCGTCCAGGTGTTTGAGAAAACCATGCAGTACAAGTTTAGAGAAACAGACTTGATTGCCATTGGCTGGAATTTTGTCAAAGAAATGAAAGATAGTATCTTCCAAATTATTAGAAATGTGATGTACAGCAATTATAATGAGGTGGTAAACGCTCCACTGGGTACCTTTGTGAAAAAACTGTTGAACTCGCACACAAATTGTGGGGCTTACGAAAGGAATTACTGAGTGAAATTCCCTGGCCTGTGTTAGGCGAAGGGTCAGAACAGATGATTATGATGGTACCCTCTGACTTTTAAATCTGTGAATCTTTGAATCTAGGCTTTTAACTCACATACAGCTTTTTATATCTACAATTCTTTCTTCCTTTAAAAAATCTGTTACTGTAATTGCTTAGATTTGCCAGGTTATCTTTGTCATCTTCAAGAATATATTACATTGTGCTGCTTGTGAATATGACTCGGTGATGAAATCTTTCAGCTACTGCTTTCTTACTGCTACTCACTTTTTCCCACAAAGAGCATTTCTCTTCTTGAACTGTAAGGCAAAAATATAAATAAGAAAAAACCAAGGTAACTGAAGAAGATAATACTTAGTATTTATCTTTTGTGATCTTGATGGAAGAAAGAAGCATAGAAAGCTTAGTGGGCATTTTAGCAAAATATGCAGGGCCATACAGGGCTATCCGTTTCCAAGCTGATCAGACCAGTCACTGAGATATAGTGACAGAACCAGTTCATGCTGATTTTTTCAGTCCCGTTTTATGAGTGAAGGAGACAGCTGCTTTTAAATACTGAAATTATATGTGGTTACGTTCGGATGTATGTACTTCATGAGAACTTTCTAATAGCATAAATGCCCCAAATTTTTCAGTAGTGTCACAGACAGACATCCGGGGAGGAAAAAAGGACTATTATATTTGACATGAAAGTACTGTTTTTTTCTGCAGAAACTATCCTGTTTGTTTGTTGGCAAGGTAAGTTGTTTTGTAGAGGACTTAAGAGTTAAAATTCCTCCAGTCATAAGGTCAGGTATTAACCACAAGTTTAAGCAGTTCTTAAATGATAATTACTGAAGGGAAAAGGCTGAAAATAAGCTGTAAGAGGTGTTCTATAATGAATACTATTTACATATTTTTAGCAAAACTG